TTTTTTTTTTGTTAAAGATTTATTTATTTATTCATACAAGCACTGGGTACAGTCAGAAGCACGGGAGGGCGAGAGAATTCACCAGAGCCAGAGGGGAGAGCAAAGCAGGCAGACTGATGAAGTACACTGCTGAGGGGAGCAGCGGGCGGCAGGAGAGGTCTGCGCGCCATGTGGAACCCTCGCCCGGTGGGGATCGCACCGGCGCTGCAGAGGCTGCGGGCAGCTTCGCAACCCAGCGCTCAACCGCTGCGCCACCGGGGAGGCCTTATTTTGCATTTTCACTTGATGGCTAGTTTGGTTGAGCATTGGATTCTAGGCTATAAGTAATTTTTCCTGCAAAAAATTAGCACAATTTCTCAATCATCATCTAGCATTCAGGGTTAATGATGAGATGTTGGTGTCAAACTGATTTTCACTCTATTGGGATACCTTATTTACTCTCTTTGGAAGCCAGTAGGATTTTGATTTTATCTTCGGTATTCCAGAAATATGATGTGTCTAGATTTAAACATTCTGGGTTTGTGTGTGTGTATGTGTGTGTGTGTGTGTATGTGTGCACTCAGCTTGGTATTCAACAAACCCTATCAGTGTGAAGGTTGATGTCTTAAGCTCTGGAATCTCCACCTACCATTCCATTATTTCTTCACTCCCATTTTGTGTGTTTCCCCTTTCTGGAACTCCCATTTTGCAGGTATAGGAATTTTTGGATCTACCCCCACATCTCATGACTTTTAACCCATACTTCCTATTTCTTTTTCTTTTCACAGTTAGCCTTAGGAGAATTCCTTCATTTGATCTCCCATGTCACTAATTTTCCCTTGCTGTGTTTATTTTGGTATTTACCCCATTTATTGAGTTTTTGAAGTTAATTTTCATTTTTTACTATTTGCAATTAATTTTTATGGAATGAAATATCCTATATTATATATCTGAATATGAAAATATTATTATATCTTTATTTTCTCTATTGTTTTCCTTTGTTCTTCCAAATTATGTTTGATGTCTTTTTATCATGAGGTTGTTTTTTTCCAATTGTTTGGAGATTCTTGGTCATCTTTATATCTATATATCTAAGAATTCCTATTAGCCTGCTTATTCTATGTATCATACTTGCCTGTGATAATTATTGGAATGTGGCAGGCTCTATTCTTCAGAAAGGGTAGGAGTTCATTGTCCTTTCCAGAAGGTCAGTAGACCTTAGAGATACTATCTTTTCTCTCTGGACCACATAGTCACATCCTAGATTTAGCTTGGGGGCAAATGTTGTAGCCCAATGATGGTTATTTTTCTCGTTTTCCCATACCATTAAGGAATTTCTTTTTCCTTTCCTTTCCCTTTTTTCCTTCTTCAAATTGAACAAGACATTTTCTGGCACTTATGGGATTTTTGTTATGAGAGAGGTCAAATGGGGGTGCTTGGTCCTCCATTTGGCTCTGATCTGCATTTTTTAGCAAAACAACTAAGTTTTGAAGTTTGAAACTAACGACATTAGGGTTGAACGATTTCTTAATGTAAATATATTTCAGCACTGTTAATGAAAACTTGGAGTGCTTACAAAGTTGGATATATTACATGTGTGACAAATTATATATAAACCAGATTTCATTTCCTGTTTTTTTTTTAAACAGCAAAGGAAAAATGGCAAGGAAACCAAATTGCCTATATTTTAGCTATACATTTTAAGGAGTAATGCATATTTAAATGCTTTCAGCATTTGCTGTTAAAATGAATAAAACTTTATAATAAAATTCCCCCAAAACATAAAGTTCTAGCCAGGGATGAGCCCCTCCTTCAGATTGGGTCCAGGCTTTGTCTGGGAGGGCCTGCTGGCCTGAGGCTGCTGCTGTTGGCAACGGGCAGCGCGTTTCTCTCACTTGTCTCCCATCACTATGGTGATTCTCAATAAATAAAGTGAACAGCTCTGATCATGCACATAGTACCTTATTTGACATTTTCTTTTTGGCTCTCAGTTTCCACAAAACAACAGCCTTTTAGTCGATAAATATTTGTTGAATACCTACTACGTGTTTCATCCCAGAGGCACAAAGATTAGTGAGACAAAATGTTCTGCTTCAAAGGAGCAAAGACAAAATATGGAGACTCCATGGATCATCCTTCAAATGGAACGCAACTAGACATGTTTTTGTAGTTGCTGAATTTTAAATCTTTCATGTTTTTGTAGACATAAAAAAATTAAAAACAATTTAAATTAAAAAATTTCAAAATTTCAAACGGGAGATACACTGCAGGGTTCAAAATCCAAATGGTATGAAAAGTTATCTTTATCCATTCTTCCCTCCTCTCCCAGCCCCCTAGCCATTTTGATTAGATTCTTGTTTACACTTTGTGTTTCCTCATGCATCTACATATGACTATGTATTTTAATTTTCCTTTCCTGAAAATGATGATATGCAATGTACTTACCAATACATCCTAGAGATCATTTCCTGTCTGTCCATAGACATCTCCCTCACTGCCGTCGCTGCTCTTCGGGGCTCCTACCTAGGCAGCTGGATCCGAGTATATTAACATCCCTTCCACGGAGGGCCACTTGGGTCGTTTCCAATCTTTTGCCATGATAATGAATTCCCCAGTGAATAATTTTTCATGTCTGCCATTTGTATGCTTGCAGGGGTGTTTGCAGAGTTGATTTCTAGAAGTGGGACAGCAGCATCAAAGGGTACTTGCAGCTAAACTTTTGGCAGGTTTTGCCAGCTGTCCCTTTGCAGGGGTTAAACCATCTTAACCCTCTTCTAGCAATGTCTGAGAGAGTGTCACTTTCTTCTGGATGAGAATATTTCCAATCATTCCTTTCCTCCTAGTATCAAATAATACCCTCCCCTTTGTCTCAAAGGTTGCATTTGTTTATGTATTACCCACGTTTCTCTCAGAACAAATAATACCATTCACAAACAACGTGTTACACTTCTTTCAGATGTACCAGATGAGCAATCGTTCAGGGAACCTGAAATGGTTAAGGGACAATGTAGAGTGCAGGGTGGTCTAATTTTAAGTTGCCGAGCGGGGCGGGCAGGACATGAAGCGCAGATTGTGGCGACCTTGGGCTGACATACATCAGGAACTTTTGATTTTTCCTGTAGGCCATTGATTTTTCGGGTAGCCATTGCAGGGTTCATAAGGAAGGAGGAGCTGGTTAGAATGATATCATATTTCAATCCAGTGATCTGTGCAGGATGGAGAAGTGAGTAGAGCCCACGTCTTCAATTCTTGTGAATACGTGCTGTGACTTGCTATCGTGATGCATGTGTAACACTGGGATGTAGCAGTTGTCTGCTCCATCGCATAGAGGGCCTCTGGGGAAGAATTCCTTAGCCAGAAGGGGTAATTTTTCTATTATGCTTTCTGATTGGAAGGGGCAAGGGGCCGCTTTCCCACTTGGTTCCTCAAGGACTGTGCTCATTCTCGTCCTTCAATGCACACTGAGACTCTGTGAGTCGTCTCGAGTTCACAGAATGGCTGGTGCTTTTGAACGGAGGTTTCTTATCCTCCAATCTTGAGATATTATTTCCCACCTTGGAGGGAAAGGCAGTCACTAATGGGCAGTACCTTGTCCAAGACGCTGTGAAAAGCAGGTGTCAGACTTGATAAAGGAAGGCCAGCTTCCTGAGGTTTCGCTCAGCTGTTTTCTACCCACGGAGTGGCCTTGCCAAACCCTGCCCGCGGGCTCCGGGAGGGGGCGAGGCTCGTGCTGCCGCGTGCAGTTTCCATGGCAGTGGGCCTCCCGGGACAGGGACCGGCAGCCAGGTGGCTCACTCCTGCAGCGCCGGCTCACCTGCTCTGCTGTTGGCAGCCGCCCCCTTTCCTTCCTTAGTTCCTGGAGCTTTAGAATGTTTTTGCTGTTGTTGCTTCCTGTTGTTGCTTCCTGTGTAAGTCTCATCTCTGTGTGCAAGAACCTTAAGGTTCTGGGCTTATAAAAAGGGCGACTTTCTCTCTAAGCCGATTGAATGGCAGGAATTCAGAACGCGAGGGTGGAAAGGTACAGTCTCCCTGTAGCGAGGCAGTTCTGAGACCGAGCTGCTGCGGAGGGTGGCAGAGGATGCTTTCAACAGTGCAAAGAGATGCTAGCCCCCAAAGGCCACAGGATTCTCTTCACAGATGCCCGTGGCACTGGGTTCTTAGAATTCCGGATCTGACCATCCTTGTTTCATCTGATGTCTTCATTTAGTTAACTTCAAAAAGGCTGTGTGTGTCGCAGTTGTTTGCTGCAGTTCAAAAATGTCAGTTTCATCGTTGTCCATAGTTTTCCAGTGAAGACATATTATCATAGAATTACTAGGAATTCAGAGTCACGGAGAGAAATAAAGGGTCTCAAGTACAAGTGTTTCTTGTTTCAATATTAGCAGAGTTTGCAGTCCAGGCATGTCTGGGAACAGGCCATCTCTACAGCCATGGGATACCACTCGTGCGCTCTGCCCAGTGCAGACACTAGGCTTGGGGTGAGTTCTGGTAGGCCAGGGCTTTACCTAATGAATTACCACTTAAAAGAATTACATGATAGGGGTGGGAACAAAGGCAAGGGGCCAGAGAAAAGGACTCTGGCTCGGGAAATGAAGCAGCTCTGGGTGAATTCCATCAAGTAGAGGGGCAGTGATGGCAGAGGCACGCAGAAGATGGAGCAGAATGAAGTTTTAGAACATGTGGCTCTGAAGTCACATGTTCTTCTTGGACATATTGAAGAATCAACAAAGTGTAACATAGTTTAGTATCAAGTGCTACTGGAAAACAAAAAGGTAAAACTCAACTTAAGCCCATTTATGAGTCAAAACAGACTTACTTACTTTTTGTAAGAAGTATAATATCCTTTGTTCTGGTCATCTGCAGTTAAGTCATGAATGAGACAATAAAATTTCCCTTGGTAAACTTCCAACTAATTAAGCACATTCTTCGTTTCTGTATTATGTACAGTTAAATAAGAGTGGGAAAATCAGTGCATTTGGTGACTCCTTGGACAAATATTTTTTGAATTCTTCTAGTCTGATTCCGACGTAGGAACTGAATGCAAATAGAACTATACCTTCCCCCCACGACCCCCGCCCGGACTTCAGTTTGCTGGGTTTCAAGGATGTCAGAGACCAGCCAGGGGGCAGCTGGAGAAAAGCCGCAGAGGTGAGGCCACATGGAACTGAATGTGGAGCAGTGGGAGAGGTGTGGTGAGCGTGGGTGGGGCCTGCCAACCTGGGGGTGTGGACCCCATACTTTATACAGGAGAGGCCTTTGAATAGAGAGGGTGGACTTCTCAGAGATTGCTGTGGGTGGAATGGGTTGAATGAGGTTGCCATGGGGACAGGGCGTTTAATGAGACAGTGAGACAGTTACTGTTGAAGAGAGAAGAGAAGAGGGAAGCATTAGGTGGAGGCCTGGACACAGAATTCAGAGAATCCCAGGATGTGTCAGCCACTGGGCATATAGGAAGAGTGAGAGGGAGGACACGTCAGATGCTTGGACTGCGTGGGGAGTGGCAAGGCTCGCCCTGACGAGGACAGTGGGAAGACCCCAGGAGGCCTGATGGTGGGGGCAGAGAGAGAATGAGTTGAGGTTAATTAATATTGTAGGTAGTATGTCAGCCAGGACTCTATCAGAAACACACACACACACACACACACACACACACACACCTGGCAAGTCTAAAATGCAAAGGGCAAGCTGTGAAGAAGGTCAGGCTGGAACCATCCGGGAGGAGCCAACACTCTGTCCCAGATAGGTTTTTAATTCCCTCAAGGAAATCTCAGTTTTGCACTTAAGGTTTCATTGGATTGGATGAGGCCTCCCCAGAATATAAAGCATAATCTCCTTTACTTAAAGTCAACTGATTTTAGAAGATTTTGCAGAATCACATCTGCAAAATACCTTCTTAGCAACATCTAGATTAGTGTTGGTTTCAATAACTGCGATCCATGGCCTACTCAAGTTGACAAATAAAATTAACCAGTATAGAGAGTAAGCCATGGAATTTGTGAAATATTCAAGTAGTAGAAGATGAGTCAATAAAAAGTGTGTTCCTGCCATCCCAAATTCCTGGAGCCTCTCTCTGGGGGAAATCACAGTTAAGACTTTCTGTGCCTCGAGGCACAGATGGGAAAGGGATTGAATAGGAAATAGGCACAAGGTGGGAGCATCTTAGCATTTGGATAGGATGCAAAATAACGGCAAGATTAACGAAAGAGAGTGAAAGACATAAACACGGGAGATGGAGGGCAGAGTTCTGGGTATTCCATGTGTGGGGGACCAGGAGAGGGGTTATCACTAGAGTCTTGCTCTGCAGAATCCTGGTGAGCTCCTGCATAAAAACTTCAGAGAAAGTGCCTAAGAATTGGGGCGGGTGAGTGGCAAAGGGACAGACATTAAGGCTGCCAGAAAGATGGAGTTCTTTACCCCTGCTCTTGACTGGTAAAGCGCAACAAAAATCTCATTCCATGCTTGGATGGGGACCCTGCTAGGAAATGTTGAAGAAGCAGGGGTTAAGATTTCTACTTTGTGCTGCTGAGAGCCCCTTCTTTAGATTCTGTTTTGTGAGATTCTGATTGAGTTGAGTGTGTCCTGGAGAGTCATTGGAGTTTTGTATAGGAACTTGAGGAGGAGAGTCTAGTGCTGAGAGAGGAGGGAAGGAATAGACTCTGCCCATAGCGAGAAGAGGAAACATGTCTAGTGAATTCTTCCCAGAGGGATTTTTGCAAACAATGTCTACTGTTCCATTTTATCCTGTATCCAGTGGGCTCCCCAGTACTCCTCTCCCTTCCATTGTTCCAGAGCAGCATGACATGGCTTATTTTACTGAGTATAATCCCTTCCAACTCCATCCATGTGCTGCGAATAGCATGAGTTTATCCTTTCTGAATATTATTCCATTGTGAATATGTACCACATCTTCTTCCAGTCATCTATTTTTGGGCAATTGGGTTGTTTCCAACACTTACCTATTGTAAGTAGTGCTGCAATATTACATATGGGTGCAGGTGTCCTTTTGAATTAATGTTTTTGTGTCCTTTGAGTAGATACCTAGGAGTGGAATTGCTGGATCATATGGAAGCTCCATTTTTAGTAGACCGAGGAATCTCCAGACAGCTTTCCATAGTGGTTGGAGCAGTTTGCACTCCCACCAGCAATGTAGGCGAGTTCCTTTTTCTTCACATCCTCACCAACATTTGTTGTTCTTAGTTTTTTTTTAATTGCTTTTTTTGATTATAATTTTTTAATTTTTACATCATTTTTCATTTTTAAACAATATTTGCTTCCCCCACCCCCTCAGGTGTAGTCCCCATAGAATTTCCTTCACCAATGCACCCGTGCACCATCACCTCAGTCCCCTTTGTTCCTCCCTCCCTCCCTCTGATCCCTCTCCCTCCTCCCCTGCCGGATGTCTCTGACTTATAATTGTCTGTTTTTGCTTTGTTGTGTTTTGTACTGTTATTATTTTCTTACATGGATGTCTTATTTGGTTTTCCTATATTCCTGCTATAAGTGAAACCATCCGATATTTTTCTTTTTCCTTCTGGCTTATTTCACTGAGCATGATTCCTTCTAGCTCCATCCATGTTGCTGTGAAAGGCATGAGTTTATCATTTCAGTTGCTGAATAATATTCCATTGTGTGTGTGTGTGTGTGTGTGTGTGTGTATATATATATATATATATATATATATACACACACACCACATCTTCTTGATCCAGTCATCTATTTTGGGCATTTGGGTTGTTTCCAGGTTTTACCTATTGTAAATAGTGCTGCAATAAAACATAGGGGTACAGGTGTTCTTTTGGATCACCTGTGTCCTTTGGGTAGATTCCTAGGAGTGGAATTGCTGGATCATATGGTAGCTCCATTTGAGGAACCTCCAGGCAGCTTTCCATAGTGGTTGGGCCAGTTTGCACTCCCACCAGCAGTGTAGGAGAGTTCCTTTTTCTTCACATCCTTGCCAACATTGTTGTTGCTAGTTGTTTTTTTTTTTATTTGTGCCATTCTTACTGGTGTAAGGTGGTAATCTCAATGTGGTTTTGATTTGCATTTCCCTGATTATAAAGGATGTTGAACATTTTTTCATAGGCTTGTTGGCCATTTGCATTTCCCCTTTGGAAAAATGTCTTTTAAGTTCTTCTGCCCATTTTTTGACTGGATTGTTTATTTTGTTTTTGTTGAGTCGTGTGAGTTCTTTGTGTATCTTTGTGATCTGTCCCTTATCAGTTGTATGGAGAGCAGAATTTTTTCCCAGTCAGTGGGGGTGTCTCTCTATTTTTGGTTAATGTCTCTTTTGCTGTATAGAAGCTTTTCAGTTTGCTGTAATCCCAGGAGTTTATCTTTTCCTTGACTTTCTTTGCTTTGGGTGATGAGTCTTTAAAGATGTTACTGAGATGTATGTCTTGTAGTGTTTTACCTATATTTTCTTCTATGTATTTTATGGTTTCAGGTCTTAATGTCCCGTTCTTTTATCCACTTTGAGTTGATTTTTGTGCATGGTGAGAGGTAGTGGTCTAGTTTTATTCTTTTGTCCAGTTTTCCCAGCACCATTTATTGAATAAACTGTTTATGTTCCATTGCATATTCTTTGCTCCTTTGTCAAAGATTAGTTGTCCATATAAGTGTGGCTTTGTTTCTGGGTTCTCTATTTGGTTCCATTGGTCTGTGTGTCTGTTTTTGTTCCAGTACCAAACTGTTTTAATTATTATAGCTTTGTAGTATAGCTTGAAGTTTGGAAGTGTGATAACTCCATTCTCCTTTATTTTTGTCAGTAGGGCTTTGGCTATTTGTGGTTTTTTGTGGTTCTGTATGAATTTCATTAGTGTTTGTTCTATTTCTTTGAAGAATGTCATTGAATTTTTATTGGAATAGCATTGAATCTTTAAATTGCTTTTGATAATATGGCCATTTTGATAATGTTAATTCTCCCAATCCATGAACAGGGGGTGTCTTTCCATTTCTTTATATCTTTTTCTCTTTCTTTTAACAATGTTTTATAATTTTCTTTGTATAGGTCCTACACCTCTTTTGTCACATTTATTCCCAAGTATTTGATTTTTTTAAAGATTTTATTTATTAATGCACAAAAGAACTGGGGCACAAGCTGGAGGTGTAGGGGATGAGAGGATTCACCAGAGACAGAGTGGGGAACAGAACAGGCAGATTGACTGAAATACACTGTTGAGGGGAGCAGCAGGGGAGTGAGGAGAGGTCTGCTGTGCCATGTGGGTTGCTCCCTGGCCGTGGATCGAACTTGTGGTGCAGTGGCTGCGGATAACTTCATAGGCTGATTTTTTTTTTGTTTCAATTATAAAAGTGTGGTTTTCTTGATTTCTTCTTCTTCAGATTGATGGATTGTGTGTAGGAAGGCTACTAATTTTTGTGTGTTGATTTTGTATCCTGCTACTTTACTAAACTGGTGGATCATTTTGAGTCATTTTTGTGTGGAGTTTTTGGGGTTGTCTATGTATATTATCATATCATCTGCATATAGTGATAGTTTTACTTCTTTTTTCCCTATTTGGATTCCTCATATGTCTTTCTCTTGTCTTATTGCTCTGGTTAGGACTTCCAGTATTATATTGAAAAGCAGTAGTGAGAGTGGACATCCTTGCCTTGTTGCAGATGTTAAGGGAAAGGTTTTCAGCTCTTCACCATTGAGAATGTTATTGGCTAGAATCATTTCCAATTTCAGGTAATCAATTTTAGGGCCAATTAACCTATTCTTGATTTTGGAGCAGAATAATTAACTAATGTCGTGATTAAATACTTTCGGTTTATTTTGCTCACACATGACTGGGCCATTCTAGATTCAAGCATAGAATATAAAAAGAAAAAGTTGGTGCCTGCACAGACCAGCCTTACCCTGATCTCAAGGCAGACTCATTGTCTGTTGGGCTTGGAGGAGCCACAGCTAGCGCTGGCCTCAATCTGGAGGAGGCATCTTCCCATAGTCTTGAACCAGGGGCTGCAGGGCTAACTGTTGCCTCCTTTGCCCCAGTTTGCTAGGGCACAGTGTAACCTTGCTTCATACCCTGGAGCAGCATAGTAAGGGAGCCACTACTGCCTGCCATCACTGCCAGCCTCTACCTGAAGCCTGGGCTCCAATGGGGCCACTGGTGGTAAGTAGTAAAATGCCTCCCGTCAGTGGCTGC